GGAGCATTGGGATCTTCAGTTAAATGGCTGTCAATTCATAGAGTTAGGCTGTACTGCTTTGGGGCTGGTAGGGGGTGGAGGTGGTGATATTGAGCCAGGACTCTGTACTTTTTTCTTCACTGAGAAGATTTCATTCCCCTCCTACCCTCAATCCTTGAAGAAGAATCCTATGTACCCATTTCCTAGGAAGCTAGATGGAGGCAGAGAACCAGAAGACACAGAAACAGGAAGATAGCTAAGCCTGGTAAGAAATAAATGGGTAAATTCTCAGCCTAACTCCTCTGGTTCTCTAGTTGTAGAAAAGAGTTGGCGATGGGATCTACAGATACCTGCCTCCATTGTGGGAGAAAGACATTGAAAATTAGGTCTCCACAACAGGGCTTCCAACCTGGTTCATTCTGGGTCAACAGAATGGTCATTTCCATCCCAGATACTCATATACTGAATCAAAACCTGTATTTTAACAGGGTCCCCAGGTGATTCTTAGCTATTCTTATAGATCCCCCAGGTAATCCTTCTAGATCATGGGCCCAACACAGCTCTGGCAGCCCAAGAAAACCAAAGGAAAACAAAATGGGCTAGGGGATAGATGGCAGAGAGTCAGTTTGACTTGACCCCAGCCTAGGGGACCCAACTCTCTAGGTTCTCATTCTTAAGTACACATAACAATTATCTGGAGATGCTGTTATACCACATAGCAGATTCTGATTCAGTATATCTCAAATTCTTAGCAGGAACTGTACACGATAAGTATATGGAGTATATTTCTGGAAACCTGGGAGTCCAAACAAACATCCTGCCTGTGACTCAGACAGCATGTCTTTGGGGTGCAATTGTCCTTGCTACCTAACACAACAAGGACTCTCTCCTTTTCCCTTAAAACCAGGCCCTTTCTAGGGTCTGTCAATGTGCCTTCATCATGCCTTTTCCTCCTGCATCTTTACTTCAAACCTACTTTTTTCAGGCTCATTTCATCTCCTGCAGATTTCGGAGACCCAGAAAACTACTTTTCATGGGATCTTGAGCTTCTAGTCCCCCTATTCTACCTAGCCCCTATAGGTCACTGTCTATATTTTGTAGAAATCTTTAGGAATGAGTTGCCCAGTCTTGTCCCTCTGTGCTTGCATGTTTATGGCCTGGCTCTTGGACTCTGAGACTCAACATCTGTACATGGTTGCAACAACAACAACTTATGGAGCACAACCTCTGTGCTAGGGACTGTACTAAGCATCTTACGTATTAAATCATTTAATGATCACAAAAGAAGACACAGGTTACAATGATTATCCTATTTTACAACTGGACTCACTGAGGCACAGAGAAGTTAACTTGTCCAAGGTCAAATACTAGTAAGAGGCAGAGCTGGGATTAGAATCCAGGCAGTCTGATTTCAGAACCCAGATCCTGAAGTCTCTGCTATGTCTCCTCTCCTCTCTTATGCTTGACAACCCCAAGGTTTTTTTAAACGTTTGACTGATTGAAGGAGAACTACTGCCGAGTGTTATAGAACTGGGGAGTTGGCGGCACCACAGCCCTTTGAAGTTTCCTAGGCCATAGGTCATGGGAATTTACGGGGTGACACCTGGAACCTGAGGCAGAGGAAACCTGCTCCTAAACTTCCCCAATCCCTAATTTCTGTTATCTGCAGCTAGACAACTCCCCTTCCCTTCTCTGGGTGCCTGGAGACTGGGGAAGGCTGATCAACCTAGCTTGAAGTGTGCCAAGAGTCAGAGCTAGGATCTCTAGAGGCCGATAGATGGCGCTCATGGCCCAACACAGCTCTGGCAGCCCAAAGAGGAAACCAAAAGAAAACCTGAGGAGCAGGTTAACCCCTTCTCGCCTGGGCTCAGCCCTAGGAGCAAGATGATGGGTGGCTGAGAGCCTGTCCCAGGCCTGACTGGCCCCAGCCTAGGTGACCCAACTATGCTCTCATCCAAGCCACAGTCTGGATCTCTTCTGTCCCTATCCTCACAGGCCCTGTCTATAAATCAGTCAACTAACCACTTGGAAATCTTCCAAGGACCAGGAGATTAAAAAGGGATAAGGCAAGTTGGGTGAGATCCTACCCCATGTTCCATCTCTCAGGATCTAGCTCCTTAGAGTTTCCTGGCCAGCTTCTGTTTCTCAGTCCCTGCACTTATCTCAGGAAAGCTCCACACTCTCATTTACCCTGAGGTGTGAGAGGCAGAGAAGGTCCCTCTGTCTTTCTGGGGTCACTAAGGGATCATGGTAGACTGCCCAAGCCTCAGTTTCTCCTTTGGTCTGTGGGACAGAAACAGTTACTCAGTTCTTCCAGGAAGTTGAAATGGGACTGGAATGCTGAGCGATCTCTGCTCACCTGCCACTCATTAATGTCCTGTCTGAATTTTTTTGCCAAAGTTCAACTTGGAATGTGAAGGGACCACCAAGGTGATAAACTGGAAGTGACAGAGGTGCAGGGTAGGCAGGCAGGGTTGTCCAAAGGATGATGGGTGTCCTAGAATTCTTAAGCAATAAAATGACACCATAGTGTTGTTTCCTCTCCCTACTCCCCATTTTGTGTAGACACACAAATGCACAGATACACAGAAATAGGAGGAACCAGAGATGGGTTTCAGAAGTTCTAGGGAGCTTAGGATACTCTTAAATTTTTATTTATTTCTATTGTTGAGAATATATAGAGCAGAACATGGATCAATTCCACATTTCTAAATGTATAATTCAGTGATACTGATGACATTCTTTCAGTTGTCCAAACATTCTCATCCTCTTTACCTGAGTCTTTCCTCTCCCATTAACATAAACTCATTGCTCCCAGAAGCTTGCTGTTTTTGTTAGGTGCCATCCAGTTGATTCCAACTCATAGCACTTAAGATACTTGATTTCAGTCATTAGAGAGAAAAGTGAGAACTACAGATACCGAAAGAAACTACTGTACAAGAGATACACTTACATACATGGAGAGGGAGACAAGGACACAAAGAGTGAGAGAATCTGGTTCAAGTTAAAGTTCAGGAAATAATGGACTTTGTGTGATCGGTGATTAATTCCGTTTCCAGAGTTTGTCCAGTGGGGGAGGGGTGGCTTCTCACCCTGTTGTCACTGCTCCAAGCTCCCTAAAGCTCCTGAGGTACCTATTACATTTCTGTCTGTTGGCAAGGGACTAGGGGCTCTAGTAGCATAGTGGTTATGAGTCAGGTTGATAACCTCAAGGTCAGCAGTTTGAAACTATCAGCTGTTCCACCGGAAAAAGATGAGGCTTCTGCTTCTGTAAAGATTTTTTAAAATGTTTTATTGTGAATTATGTGATAGCTTACATAGGAGAACTTTAGTTTCACATTCATCCTATCATATATCGTTTCATTGCTATGGTTACAATCCCCTCCACGCATCATCAACCAACCAAAGGGTATACTCTGCAAGCTTGTCTCCCAGTTGTCAGCACAAAGCCCCTCTCCCCTCTGGGTCTAAAGTCCCCAGCTGCTCCATCTCTCCACGTCATGTCATCGTCTCTGCCTCCATCTTTGGCATCACTGCTTCTCTGGGTAGTGTCCTGCACTCCACTCTTCTCCCTTGATGGTCCCAGGGACCTCCACTCCTAGACTGCTTCTGTAAAGATTTACAGCCTCAGAAACCCTATGCAGGGTTGCTGTGAGTTGGAATTGAGTCAGAACTGACTCCATGGCACACCACCACCAAGAGACTAGGGGATTGTATAGCCTTCTTGCTATATCACCTTTTCCCCTTTCTGGAGTTAATAGGTTACCTTCATACCAAGTTCAGAGAGATTTTGTACTTGTGATCATAAAAATCTTGTCTGCACTGAGGTGTATGTGTAGGGGGCAGGGTATGAAGAATCTAGAAGACAACTGACTTTAGGGGATTTTGAATCTAATGAAAGTCTTACAGTCAGGATACAAATGTAGATGCTGATATAGGAAAGGGCAGAACTAATGAGACAGTTTCAGACAAATATGGATGGAAAGGTGGGGGAAATATGGCGAGGTGCCACCATAGAGTTACAATAGGTCATAGAGTTCCAAAAAGACTTTCTAGACAGAGTATTCAATGGGAAGGATTTGGAAAAATGGGAGCTTATAGGACCAATCAGAGAGTAAGGCATAGGAGAAAGAGAAGTCGAATGGTAAAGCCATGGAGATAGGACTTACACAATAATGAAGGACTGGAAAATTTTAAAAGTTTTTACTGAAGAGTCATCAGGAGATGTGAGACATGCCCCCATGGGTATCCTATATACAGTATTGGTCCCTGTAGGGCTGCAGTGGTGAAGTCTCTTGTACCTGGGTAGTCATTGGGCTAGAAGTGGTCTTTTGTTGTTGTGTGCTGGTGAGTTGGTTCTGACTCATAGAGACTCTGTATTGGGTTTCTGAGTCTGTGGACCTCTATAGGAGCAGAAAGCCTCATCTTTCTCCCAAGGAGTGGCTGGTGGATTCAAACCATCAACCCTGCAGTTAATAGCCCTATAGGTAATTCATTTAAGCTACCAGGGCTCTATTGCTGTTGTTGTTATGGGCTCCATTATTAATACCTCTCAAATGTGGCACTGTAGGATCAACACTGAACTGCGAACCATAAGGTCAACTGTTCAAACCCACCAACTACTACTTGAAAACCCTATACATGGTCGCTATGAATTGGAACCTACTTGACGACACTTAACAACAACAACAACCACCGTGGTGATGATTGAAGATTCCTAATTCGGAAACCCTTTGGGAAAAGTGTGAATGAACTTTCTGAAGAATAATGTTCTCTGACGTTAGAATCCAGGATGCCTGAGGTTTTCAGAGAGTCTGACCTCTCATCCTGCCAACATTTCTTGATTCAGCGCTGAAGTAGAAAATAAACTACATCTCCCAGCATTACTTAGTACTAATTTAGCGCACCTTCCGGGGATTTGAATATTTCCTCCGGAAGTGACCGCGCTACGCCAATCTCCTTCCCTAAACAATGTGGACTACGATTCCCACAGTCGGCCGTGCCTGAGGATGGGGTGGGGTGGAGTGGGGAAAGGAACCGGAAGCCGTATGAAGAGTCCGACCAGGTGAGGAAGTAGAGGCTGGGAAGCTGGGGTGTTGGATTCCGAATGGGGGCTCGCAGGACTGTTTGGGCAAAGTTGAGAGGAGACTATAAGTCCGTGTTTCATGGCCCCTCGATTCGACTGGGGCTCGCTCCCGCTCAAGGAGAGCGGAGCTTACGGAGCCCTCTGCGAGGTCTGCCAGGGCCAGACTTTTCCGTCGGGCGGAGCCCGCCGGCGTACGCGGAGGTTTCGGGTGGTACTTCAGCGGTCTTCTTTCTCCCAGGGGGAACGAAATGTTGTTGTTGTCGTTGTTTTTGCGTCCTCTATTGTGGCGCGGCGGGTTAATGCGCTGGACTGCAAAGTCAGTTTGAACTTCAGGGTCGGCTGTTCAAGCTCACCAGCCGTTCCTCGGAAACCCTATACAGGGTCGCTGTGGGTCGGAGCCGACTCGACGGCACCTAACAACAAAATTATGTCATTATTAATATGTTGTTAAGTGCCATCGAATCGGTTCCAGTCATAGCGACCCTGCGTAGCCTTTCCAAAGAGGGGCTAGTGGGTTTAACCGCTCACCTTACGGTTAGTAGTCCAGTGCTGATCCTACATCACCATAGTAATCTAAAGATTTGCTGGTTCCCTGAGTATCCCTGGAGCGTCCCCAGAGCATGGGAGCGGCTAGAGTGCCTTCTATTCCTTCTCTTACTGGATTTGGTGTCAAATAACTTTAGGTATCGAAACTTTTCGCTGTATCTACACCGGAGTTTATGCTTTGATTTTTAAAGCATCTTCCACCCCCATCACTTTGACTCTCCTGCATTCAGAGACCTGCATGCTCTTTGTATGGATCTGTACACTTGGCACAGAAGTGGTCATTTGGCCTTTGCCCTGCCTTCAAGACTATGCTCAGTCTCCCTAACATGTATGTTTCAAGAAAAGGTCTTCAACCAACTTCAGTCATTTTTGCAATTGTTCCATCTGATCTCCCCTCAGTCCTCTTTTAGGACTGTTGTTGGTAAGTGCTGTGGAGTCAGTTCAGACTCATAGCGACCCTGCTTAGGGTTTCCGATTTAGGACTGTAGGGGCAGAAAAAAAAAAAAAAGACTTTAGTACTTGTATTTTCAGCTATTCAGGCTCTGTTCTGCTCTCTGAGTGGTGAGAGCTTTTTGCAGAAAGTAGATGGACTCATGTCACCCTCCCATCTTTTATACATCATGTAATAAATACACTGTAGCTTATTAAGTTCCTCCTTTGTTAAGTCTCTGATTCTTGGTGACTTTGATATACTTTCCAAGTTCTCTCTTTGGGCTCCAATAGTGGTTTGTTCTGGACATTAAAGCTCAAATCATACTATATTACAGTTATTTGTCCTCTCTTGGTTTGTGAGCTTACTGAAGGGCTGGTCTACATTTTATTCATTATGACTTCTCCGCCAAGAGCTTGCCACAGTCTGGCATGTAAGAGACTCAAATACTGACAAAAATAAATGAATAAACAGCTGGTAGTAGATAGGGTGAGTTAAGTGACATACTTGCTTGAGATAGCCTACTAGTTAGAGATGAAATCAGGACTAGAATTAAAGTCAATTGATTTTCAGCCTGTGGCTCATGCTATCATATCGTCTTGAAACTGTACACTGAAAATAAGGCTCTGTCCACTTTTATGTGTCCCCAGCCTTGCTGTCTCCAGCATAGGTCTCTCTCTCTCTCAAGCCAAGGCGGTAGGCCTAATTTTAACATGTGAGGGAGATCCCATAGCTGATGCAACCAACCCACTAGTGTTGGTATTGCTTGATGTGATGCAAAGTGAGGTCACTTGATGTTATGAATTCTTTACAGACTCCTTCTCAGTTTTTGTGTGAGCCCAGATGGCTCTCAGTGGCTACCTAGATAGATCAGTTCAAGAATTCCTCTAGGATCAGGCTGGGAAGGAGATCCTAAGTTTGGTCCCACTTTCTTTTTTTTCCCACATCCCCTAGGCTAAGGTTGGCAACTGTGTAAGATGGATCTGGAAGAAGAGATCCCTCTGGTCTGGGGAAGGGTTTGGTAGGGTGGGAGACACCACAGTCCTTGCCAAAATGGAGGCCCAGATCCAATGGAAGCATATCCAGAGGCTAAGGCTAAGTCTATGAGCAGCAAGCAGAATGCAAAATGGATAACCGAGTCTTGAGTTGACTCAGTAGAAATGGAGAGGAATGTATCAGGACTTGGTAGAAGGTAGTTTGAATAGGACTGTAAATGAAGGAATGGAGAGAGCAGAGCAGGTGTTTGTTGAGTATAAAATAAGAGCTAGGACCTTGGAGGTTGTTGTTAGTGCCATCAAGTCGGTTCAGACTCATAGAGACCTTGTATAGGGTTTCCAAGGAGCAGCTGGTGGGTTGTCAATTCAGTGCTTATCCAACAGTACCACACCAGAACTCCCACGGAGGTACTGAGTGAAATTGAAGAAAGGAGTGCTCAGGTGTGGATTCTGGGGTGCCACTAACCATGGTGCCACATGGTTCTCAGTCTTCATGTTAAAAATACAAATTCCAGGCCCCACACCTGGAATAGGTGTGGGGTGTCTGGTAAGCTATGACAAACACTACCCTGTTTGAGGAGGGAAGGCTTCACCAAAGCAGTGATTTGAGCTGCATTTTGAAGGATGGATTTGATGGTGATATGTGGTGAGGTAGGGGACTCATGTTCCTGGTTAACTGAATTTGAGAAGTGTATTTGGCTGGGTTTGTAGAAAACAGCATATGCAAAGTTTTAGAAGTTGGGGGAAAAAAGTGTGAGTGGAATAGTCTAGGCTGAAGCAGTGTTTGTGTGGGAGTGAGAAGGAAGATTGTAGGGATTAGATTTTGTAGTTTACAAAATGGGCTCACGTATACTGCCCCCCTGGCCCCAGGTACATACAACACTGTTCATCTGTTTTATGTCACCATTATGAGGTGGCTATTATTGTTAGTATTTGGGTGAGGAAACTTGGGGCTCAGACAGGTGAAGTGCCCTGGCCATAGTCCAGCTTGTAAGAGTATTCTGGCTCCTGTAATCTTCCTGCTCACCATGATGAGTATTGAATATGGGAAAGAAACTAGGCTGGGATTAGGAAGAGCATGGATTATGGAATTGACAGTGTGGTAGATTTGACCAACTAAGGCAAGATGGTGTTAGTGGTTAAAAGTAGGGCTTCATTTCGGTTAGGGTTAGAGAAGTTGCTGTTCCACCCTACCTGTATTAGTCTATAGTTTAACAAGATTCCCCAGGTGATTCTTATGTAAAATCATGGGGAATCTTGTTAAATGTCCATTCTGATTCAGTATCTTTGGGGTGGAAAGGAAAGTTCTTTAAGCCGGGTGGGTTGAACCAGAATGAACCTGTTCAAAGTCCTAGATACTGGAAAGTGGGGAGGGGAAGAAGTGAGGTGAGCTCAGTTCTGTCTGTAGGCTGAGGGATGGCTTTGCCATGGTTTCTCAGGGTCCCCCTCTGAGCCCAGAGAAATGATGGTAGGGCCAGTGTAGGTCTCTCCTACTCCGGGGCTAAGGGATAATGGGGGCCTCTGTTCATCTCTTTTTCAGGTGACAGTGGTATGGCCCTGCCCCAGGCTTGCCCGTTGGGGCCCCTCAGTGAGCCTGCAGGTGCCCTGATGGAGCCCCAGCTGGGCTCTCATAGCCTGGCTGAGGGCTTCCTAAAGGAGGAGCTTCGACTCAATACTGAGCTGAACCAACTGCAGTTCTCAGAGCCTGTGGGCATCATCTACAATCCTGTGGACTATGCATGGGAGCCACATCGAAGCTACGTGACTCGCTACTGCCAGGGCCCAAAGGAAGTGCTCTTCCTGGGCATGAACCCAGGCCCCTTTGGCATGGCCCAGACTGGGGTAAAGGGTTTGGTTTCCCCTGGTGGGTGGAGTAGGAGGCTCCAAAGGTGGGAATGTTGGGTTGGGTGTGCTGTGGAGAAGTGTATGCATGACTGTGGACAAGTGTGGGCTCTCTTCCCCCCATCCCCTCTCAAAACACACATTGGCTCCTGTGGTCTCAGATACTCTCTTGGCCGGTAGTTAACCAAACACATTAATGGTGGTTCCATTTCCCCTGTGAGCTGCCGGCTAATTGCCTCTGAGAGCCCTTCCTTCCGCCAGCCCCAGCCCCACTTTACCTTGCCAGATGTCCCCTCCTCCTAGAATGCTGCTGGGGTCACGGCTGGGTCCTTGAGAGACTGGTTGGCAGGGGGTGGCTGTGGAAGAGATGCCGGCCCTTCAGGCACGGTGGGTCTTGTAGCTGAGGAGAACCTCAGCACAGAACTGGGCCCCAGGCTTGCCTGCTTTCATTTCAGACCATGAGGAGTGACTGCCCCTCAGTAGGGGTTCTTGGCACGTGGGAGGGAGGGGAGGAACCTTCAGGGCAGGAGGCTCAATCGTTTTTATTGACCCCAACTGGGTGATGAAAGATGATCAATGATGATCGATGGAAATGACAGCCTGAGGCTTGGGGCTGGCAGGGCACCCAGAGAGCAGTGGTCAGCCTTATCCTTGTGCCTCCTTTGACCCTGGCTGCCTTTCTGTCTTGGGCTGTCTGTCCATCCCTAGTGTTGTCCATCACAGCCTGTGTAGGGCCAGATATCCCAATGTACTCTTTACATTTGGTCCCAGTGGTTAGTAGAGATGGTGGTGTTAAGTGCTGTTGAGGTGGTTCTGAGGGCGAACTGGCAATCCAGTGCTTATCGTATAGCACCACACTAGAGGTAGAGGCAAATAAATAGAATCTGGACCACAACCCATAATGAAAAATAGGTGGACAGAATCAAAACAAAGACCCAAGAATTCTCGTCTCTGGCCTTTGGGTGGGGATTTGGGGGAAAGCATCCAGGCTGGAACCTCAAGGTGGAAAGGGATCAGTTGGTTCAGAGTCCAGGTGTCAGATCTGCACTTGGAAACCCTCTTATTTCTCTCTTTCCCCACAGGTCCCATTTGGGGAGGTGAGTGTGGTTCGGGACTGGTTGGGCATCGGGGGGCCTGTGCTGCCTCCTCCCCAAGAGCACCCTAAACGACCTGTATTGGGACTGGAGTGCCCACAGTCAGAAGTGAGCGGTGCCCGATTCTGGGGCTTTTTCCGGAACCTCTGTGGACAGCCTCAGGTCTTCTTCCGTCATTGCTTTGTCCACAACTTGTGTCCCCTGCTCTTCCTGGCTCCCAGTGGACGCAACCTCACCCCTGCTGAGCTACCTGCCAAGCAGCGAGAACAGCTCCTCGGGATCTGTGAGGCGTCCCTCTGCCGGCAGGTGCAGCTGCTGCGGGTGCGGCTGGTTGTGGGAGTGGGGCGGCTGGCGGAGCATCGGGCGAGACGGGCTCTGGCAGGCTTGATGCCAGAGGTCCAAGTGGAGGGGCTTCTGCACCCTTCACCCCGTAGCCCACAGGCCAACAAGGGCTGGGAGACAGTGGCCAAGGAAAGGCTGAATGAGTTGGGGCTCTTGCCGCTGTTGATGGAATAAGTGCCCTGAGGCCTGGGCATAGGACACACTCAAGGCCCCCACATCATTCTCAGCAAGCACGTGACTGCCCACCTGGCCTGGAGCACCAAGGTCTTCCTGGCCTTCCTGGTTGCTGGGAAACCTGTTTATTGATCTATTGAACTGTCTTCCAACCTCCCTTTGCAGTTTTCACACTACTCCTGCTCCCTCTCTGATTCTTGCAGTCTTCACCGTCCTTTGATCTGGTTTCTTTTGTCATGCAATACCTAACTTCACAGTCTATCAGCAGAAATTGGGCTTTGCTGCCTGCAAACTGCTCTACCTCACTGTTTCTTTGGAAGCTTCTACTCAGCTCCTAAGGTCATAGTTGCTGTTTAGAGAAAAGATCCTGCTAGGATCCTCACTCATCCTCAGCAAACAGCTGCCTTCAGCTGACCCCTTTCCTGACTGGGACCAGGACAAAGCCTGAGACATGGATGTTAAGAGTGCATTTCTTGTGGAGACAGGCTGAATCAGAGGGAGAAATCTGTATTGCAAAGTGGAAAAGGCACTGGATTTGAGTCAGAAAGCCTGGATTTTCATCCCAGCTCTGAGACTTGTGCACTGTGTCACATTAGACAAGTTGATTAACCTCTCTGAGCCTCAGGATCCTCATCTGTAAAAATGGAGGTCCCTACTCCATGGTATTGGTGTGTGGATTCACTGAGATAACATGGCAGTGTCCTGCATCATACCTGGCACGTGGGTGCTCATGACATCCTTTCCTTCCTTCCTTGCCTTTGGGTGGGAAGACATTGCTCTGCACTACAAAGAAGCCCCTTTCTCCTGAAGACCTTGCTGGGAAGACTCTGGGCCTCTGCCTGTGACTTGGGTGAGGGGCTGATTCTTTCCCTGCCAGAGCTGGACTAAAGACTTCACAAAAAATCCAGTCTATGAATTTTCAGTCTAAGCATTAAAAGCCCCTAAATCTTTTTTTGTCTTGTTACTTCTTTTTCCTCCTGCGTGTCTAGGGTAGATGGTTTAGATTTTTCTCTCCACCTCTCACTGTTTTCAAACAATTCCCTTGTGTGTGGGGAGAGGGGCAGTAAGCAGACCATTAATCATCTTACCAAAGCTCTAGGATCTCTGTTAGAGGTTTGTTCAATAGTTTTTCTGAAACATGGGACACTGGGGAACAGGTGGTAGGTTCTGATATCTCCAAGTTCTCATGTACGCAGAATGGTTGAATGGGGTGCCCCTTTGGTAAGAATTAAAAAAAAAAAAAAGAATCAAGTTGGATGTAGAGCAGGTTTGGAGACCACCCTAATGAAAAACTTAATGGCCCCAACCATCCCTCCCAAAGCCATCTCTACTTAGCTGGGTTCAGTGACGCATTGCTATGGTCACACAGAACTCAGACACTATACTCAGTTGTGGGATTTACTAGGAAGTTAATAGGTTACAGTTCAGGGTCAGAAATGTTCAGGGCACAGTTCTTCCAGTCAGAACAGCCTCTTGTCTGCCACGCCTATAGGCAAACTTCTTTGGACCTTAGTGCCTTGGTCTGGCCTCTTCCCTGCTCTGGCAGCTGCAAACCCACTTTCCGAGCTGCTGATGAATGCCCACAGGGTACACCATTCCCCTATAAGCCTCAGTCTGAAGACATTCGGCTCTTAACTCTGTGGGTCAGCAAACCTAACTGCTCTAATTAATGCCTGAAGACACCCCACTCTGCAAGTAAGCCCCCTACTCAAAGTCACTCAGCTCTACTTGCACCGTGAGCTGAGAAGCCCATCACTCTGTCTGGTGCTCTGGCTCTTGGTTCTGCGGCTGCTCCTCTGCCACTCCTTTGGTGTCACAGCTTTCGGACTCTGGGTTGAGGAGGTTCAATGCTCAGGGATCTAGGGGTCCAAAGGATTCATTCCACTTGTGACTCTGATGGTAGTGAGATTTTCCCCACTGCTGCTGAGACGATTCGTTTTATAGCCACATTAGAATTTCAAGTTTTTGCAATCACAGTGAGCTCTGTTAACCACAACCAAATCAAGTAACCCTGTCAGTATCTTACCGTACTTTCTCTTACTGAGGTCCAAGAAAAAGAAAGTTGGTTGTTGGGAGTTAACAAAAACAATGGGTAGATGAACCATATGAAGTAATTCATTGTGCTGCAAAAACACATGATCTGACTAGCTCCTGGGACAATTATCCCCAAGTTTCAAAATAAAACTTTAAATAACAGTATCCCCAGCATATACCCCCCACCCAACACACATACTTAGACTCCTTTTTCTGTGTTCAGTTTCTCTGTGTTATGCCAAAAGCAAGTAATCCCCATTTACCTAGCACTGGAGTAAGTGCTGTGGAGTCACTGCATAAAGAGAATGCATTGTCTCCTCATCTACCCAGCTGAGGTGATCAGGGAATGATATCTGCAGGAGATGCCATTTCAGATGGCCTTAGGGACTGGGAAAATATTGGTGAGCTTAGAGAAGAGCATCATTATGTTCAAGGGATGACAAAGAGATTAATGTTGGTCCAGTTGGGAGAGAAAGCTGGAAAGGTAAGTTGCACCAGCATGTAAAAAGTCTTGAATACTAGAATAGTCCAGTGGGGCAAGTGAGACACAGCACATGTATGTAATCCCCAACAATAGGAACACACAGATGGGTATAAATTGGGCATATAGGAGGCAGTGTAGGTACAGTAGGGGCAGAAATGGTAATAAAGTCCCAGGGGACAGCTAGAACTGGGCAAAAGTCTAGAGTTGGGTGAGAATGATGAGCTAACAGGAGATAGGGTTGGGCAGTGAATAGAGGCACTTGAGTAGTCAGGATAATGACGTTAGGGCCTGGGCATTGCAGACACTACCCAGTTGAGTCTGCTTCTATTGGGGTTTTTGGTCCTCAGTTCCGTGGTTACTTTTGTTTGGGAGATGTGATTAAGGGTCTTGGGCTTACCTTTTCCCAAGGACAACAAAACACATGTCACTGTTTTCTGTGCTCCACCAATGTCAACCTTGAACAAAGTGGGGTGCTAGGTAATGCCTTTTTCTTAGGAGACGGGTGGAGGCAGGTTAACAAGCTGATAGGACTGGATCTTATAATACATACTCCCTCAACTCATCCCAGAGCAGCTTTAGTGCAGAGAAGAGTATCCTTAGGGAAAGGAAGCTCCGAATTTCTCTCAAGCCAAAGGGAATGGAGACTTCAGCTACTGCAAAACAGTATTGGTATTGTCAGAAATAGTCTAAAGCCAAATTGAAATGATTTGGGATCATCTAAAATCCTGTAGTCCAATATGGTAGCTTCTAGCCATGTGTAACTGTTTAAACTTAAAATGAAGTAAAATAATTCAATTCCCCAGTCACTAGCCATATTTCAAATACTCAGCAGCCACATGTGACTAGTGGCCACTGACTGGAGAATGTGGATATGGTACATTTCCATCATGGGAGAAAATGATTCTGGACAGTGTTGATCTAGAGATCAGTGGTTTACAGTCCTGTCTATAAATCAGAATTAACCTGTGGGGATTAAAAAAGATTTAAGTGTCCCAGCTGCACTCCAGCAGATTCAGATTTAGGAGGTCTGAAGTTTGATCTGGGTATTAACAGGATCTCTTTTTGCTACCAATATGTAGTCAGGAGTCCTAGCGTGGCACTGTAGAATAAGCATTGGACTGCTAACTGCAAGGTTGGCAGTTCAAACCCATCAGCTGCTCCTCAGAAACCCTATGCAGGATTACTATGAGTTGGAACCGACTCAACAGCACTTAACGACAATAACAACATACAGGTATGTTAAGAGAGGATTACCCTGTGTCTTTGAAGGCAAGGAGAGAGTCTCTTTTTGCTTCTTTCCCCCAGTATGTAACCTATGCCTGGCACAAAGTAGGTGTTTAGTATGAATGTGTAAGCAATGTATGAATCTTCTAGTTCTGAAGATATACTCAATGGTGCTTGTTATGAATTGAATTATGTCTCTTTCTCCCCCTCAATATGTATTGAAACCCTAATGCCTGTCTGTGAATGCGGTCCTGTTTGTAAATAAAGTCTGCCTTTTTTTTATGCTAATGGGGTAATTCCAGAGTTGAGTGAGTTCTAAACCTAATTCCTTCTGAGTAGTAAAGAGACATAGACACATAGAGGAGACAGACAGATGCCTTGAGATGGTGGAGGCAGATGCATCTACTAACCCAGAAAGGCCCAGGATTGCTGGTAACTATGATGGCACTTAACAACAACTACAAGCTAAAAGACAAAGAAGGACCTTCCAGCCTCCATAACTGTGAGGGAATACATTTCTGTTCTTTAAAGCCATTTATTTGTGGCATTTTATTATAAACCCACCCCCCCAAATACCCAAGCCTACCACCATTATGTCAATTCTGACTCATAGTGAACCTATCTAAGGTTTTCAAGGCTGTAAATCTTTCTTTTTTTTAAAAAAAAACCACCACTTTTTATAGTGATATTTTACATGGTAGAACATCGGTTTTAACACTCATCATTTCATTGCAGTGATTACAATCTCCTCCATGCATTCTCATCCAACAGTATGTGCTTCTATTCCCTCTGGGTTTTTTTTTTTTTTTGGATGTATACAAAAACACTCAGGAATATATAATAATTTAAACAACCAAAGGGCCCATTCTGCAAAACTGCCTCCTGGCTGCAAGCACACAACCTTTCTGTTTCCATGAGTCTAGAGTCCTCAGCTGCTCTATTTCTCCATATCCTCATCTCTGCCTCCATCTCTGGTGTCACTGCTTCTCTGGATAGGGTCCTATATTCTGCATGTGCTCTTCTCCCTTGATGATCCTAGGGTCCTCTGTTGCTGGACTGTAAAATTAACTACTACCCCCTTTTTGTTACATTACTTCTACCTTTACTGTTATAACGGTCGCAATTAGTCATGATAAAAATTGCTACTGAATCATAAGAATTTTGTTCCCAATATCTTTTCACCAGACCTGTCTAGAGAAGATAAGAACTATTCAGTAGGGATTCTACCATCCCCTGCATACTCTGAAACTGAATTCTCTCTTGAAAACTTGTAATTCAGTCACTTTGTGTCTTTATAGTCCCCTCATTTTACCAATGTCTAAGTTTCCTGTCCCTACCAACCCTGTATGGATTACATCTCAATGTAAAGAAAACAAAAATGCTCACCACTGGACCAATAAACAACATTCTTATCAATGGAGAAAAGATTGAAGTTGTCAAGGACTTCATTCTTCTTGGATCTGCTATCA